CAGGATGCCCTGGGCAGGATGCACTGGGAAGGACTCAGGGAAGGACTCACTGGGCAGGATGCACTGGGGAGGATGCCCTGGGCAGCACACACTGGGAAGGACTCACAGGGAAGGACGCTGGGGAAGGACGCTGGGGAAGGACTCCCTGGGAAGGACTCACTGGGCAGGATGCCCTGAGCAGGATGCACTGAGGAGGATGCACTGGGAAGAACTCACAAGGAAGGACTCACTGGGCAGGATGCACTGGGCAGGATGCCCTGGGCAGGACACACTGGGAAGGACTCACAGGGAAGGACGCTGGGGAAGGACTCCCTGGGAAGGACTCCCAGGGAAGGAAGGACTCCACTCCGTGCCAAGCGAGGCTCCTCCACCCTTACCTGGCAGGAATTTGAGCAGGAAAGGTCTCAGCTGTCCACTTGTCATGTACCACTAACACAGGGCAGGAGAGAAGTCTGAGCGGAGCCCTCTTAAGCTTCCTCTTGAACTCAGCTCTGAAGTAATAAAATCAGAAGTAGCACAATTAGAGTCTACAGAAAAATATAATGTGTGAGCAGAAGTGCAGAGAACAGTCGAGATTGAAAAAGAGCTACTGCACGTGGTGATGGGCCCTGCAATCCCAGCACTTGGGAAGCTGTAAGCAGGAGGATCACTGTGAGTCCAATCTACACAGTGAGACCCTATAGACCTTGTCCTAACCATAGACCTTGTCCTAAAATACAAAAAAAAAAAAAGAAAAAAAAAAAAGAAAGGATGGACGAAAGAAAAAAGAAAGTAAGTGAGCTGCTGTAAAAGACGTGCGGCCATGAATCCCCTCAAGACCGTTTCTCACACAGTCAGGCTCATCCCACCTCTTGCCACCTCCGAAGCCATCCTGGATGTCCTCTTGCATAGGTGTCTTTCGTCACATTGCTAGACTGACTTGACCTCACAAGGTGATTCAAAGCCTTGGCCGCATGTGGGGAAGACCCAGAAGTCGTGCGGTGCAGGATCCAGGGGCTACGCGTGCCGAGGGTCGCTTGCTGTTCTCAGGAGTGTGCCTTCCTGCCGGGCGACACAGAGCAGAGGGGCTCCCTGTGTTTTTGATCCCCGCAGTAAAGACATTGATGAGAGAGGACCTCGGAGCTGCTTCAGAAGGTGGCCAGAAGGACAGAACCAGTGTGCTGGGAGCAGGGAGAGGACTCTGGGGGCACTGATGACCATGTGGCTCTCATGTAAAACATTTCCGTGGGTTTTGTGTGTGCTGAAAATTGAACTCAGGACCTCATGCTTTATATTTTTTAAAAAAGGAAATACCATAGATAGTGATGCCCCCTCATAAAGTGGTATTACCACTCACAACAGAAATCTTGCATTTTTTTCCTGATATATAGTGCTAGAGATATAGTGCACTAATTTTTTTTTTTTTTTTTTTTTGTATTTTAGGGACGGGTCTACAGGGAGTTCAGGGTCTCACTGCTAGACCAGACTCCTAGTGACCCGCCTGTTTACAGACTCCCAAGAGCTGGGATTACAAGTGCACGCCACCACTCTGTCACAATTGCCCTCCTAGCACACCCCGGCGGCAGGGTTGGCAGAGCAGGCCTGGGATCGAACCCCCAGCCCCGGCGCCTGCTTGCAGGTGCTTTAATCCACTGAGCTTTTTGGCTGGCCCTTTTATTTTTTATTTATTTATTTTTAATTTTATTTCACTAATATTTTTGATGTGTGAAGTTTCATATGTTGCTCTTTATTCCCACGTACTTTTCTCTTCTTTCTTTTTATGTGTTTGCTACAGGGTCTCACTACGCAGATGAGACTCGTAAGGGTTCTCCTGTTTTTGGCCTCCCAGGCGCCACCGGGCCGTGTGTCAGTTGCGTCTCAGCGCGCCCCGGGGGCAGGGCTGGTGTGGCACTATGTTTTTTTCATCTTTTATGTAGCAACATTATATTCCATAAACATATCTAAACATAATTTATTCCAGCATGGTGCTACTGGGCATTTTTGTTGCTTCAAATTCACAAAGGGTAATTGAGTGTATTATTTTGGAGGATAACTCCGTACTGTCTGAAATTGCATCATTTAGTGACAGTGTTAATAGCATCTCCTTAAAAGTCAACAAGAATGGCACAGACTTAGGGTTCACGTGATATGTACAAATATGTACAACGTGTAGGGAGGTCAAGCATATTTTTTATCTCATGTACTTCTGACATCTTTAGTGCTCTGAGGACATTTGGAATCTGTTTCAGCCACGTTCAGATAAGGAATGTATTACTATTACCCATCCTCACTGTGCTGCGCAGAGACCCTCGAACTCACTCCCCAGGTGAGCCTTCCTGGCCAGCGCTGCCCCCGCCTCTACCTCCTGTGGGCACCCTCTTCTGTACTTCTCTATCTGTAACGATGCTGCCTGTGAGTGCGAACTGGTGCTGTAATCTCCCTCTTCAGTGGCGTGTAACACCTAACATAATCTCCTCCAGGTTCATCCGTGCTGTTGAAAATTGTGGGGCTTTCCTGTGCTTCTTCATGGCGAATAGCATTTTGATGTGCATGCTTTATTTTCTTCACCCATTTGTCCCTTGTGGGTGTGTAGCTTTGTAGTATGTCTTGTGTGTGATTTGTAACGCTGTAATGAACTTGGGAAAGCAGGTGCGGCTCTGCTGTGCTGCTCCCAGTTCCTCTGGCTGTGCCCACCTGGCGTGAGCGCTGAGTCACAGGACGGCTCTGATTTCACTGTGTGGGGAGCCTCCCTGATTCTCCACCAGGGCCGGGCCAGAGCGCACGCTTTTCTCTACCTCTGTGCCAATGCTTCTGTTTTATTCTTTTCAGAAATGCCACCCTGTGACGTGCAGCGATGCCCTCGGCGCTTCTGGTCGCTGCTTTCCCAGCCACTGGTGGCCGTGAGGTCCTTGCTCTGTCCTCTTGTCTGTGCATCTTCTTCCCAGAAATGTCTGCCCAGGTCTTTGCCATCTTAAAACAGGTTTATTTGTGCAATTACTTTGGATTTAATGGGCTTCTGGTATGTTTTGAGCATTAATTCTGTATTGGGTGCGTGGATCACAAATGCTCTCTCCCATCTGGCAGGCTGCCTTGTGCAGTCATGGTGCGGCCTCCAGAGTTTGTGATGAATTCATGACCCAACGTGGGCATTATGGCTTGAGTGCTGCACCTGTCCAGGGGCAGGTAATCTACGTGGAGCATGAGGGAGGGAGAGAGGCTCCCTGGCTGCCACCACAGCTGCTTCGATCTTTATTCTTTGCCGTTTTCCGACACCATGAACTGTTGCCTTCTTTCATGAGCCGCTCTGCCTTGGAGCCAGGAGAGTAGGGACTGAAACTTCCACAAACTGTGGGCTAAAAACCTTTTCCTTCCTTAATTTTGGGTGTCGGGTATTTTGTCTCCCAATGAGAGAAAAGTGACTGAGAGAGAATTTTGTACCAGGAGAGGGGTTGTTGATTGTGGTTATAACTGGTCATGTTCAAGAGCTTTTGGGATTGGCTTGTGGGAGGAGATAGGAAAGGTTCAGAGAGGTCACATGTAAGAGAAGCCCTGGAACACCTTTGGCTATTCCGTGTGGGAGATTCTGGTCGGAGCTCAGAAGACCACAGTGCTGATAAAAATCCTGCTTGTGAACACCTGGCTGGGGAGGATTCTGCTGGGGAAAAGATCTGTATTGGTTGTTGGGCTCCAGACGACATGTGTTACAGCCTGGCAGGAAGTGTGTCTGTATTTCGCTCGTGTCCACAGGCTTTGCGTGAGCCTGAGATGAAGCAGAGAGCCAGATGTTGAGAATCAAGAGAAAAGAGCCCAGCAGGATGATTTAAAACGCTGTGAACTTGGCAAGAAGGGGAGCACCACTAAAGACTGCAAAGATGGAGCTGAGAGGAGAAGGCACAGGAGAGCAGAAAAGTCGGCCTGAGGGCAGCACAGGAAGCAGCACATCTCTATCATCTGCAACCTAAAAACCGCAAAAGTGAAAGTTTCCTTTGAGGGGACAACTGCAGAGCCCCATATTCCAGAATGGCCACAAAAGCCAGACCAGGCTCAAGAATGGTGGCAGCATAGAGAACTTGTTCCTCAGAAGCAGGGTCAGAATGCTCAGCAGTCTAGGTACTCAACCCTTACAGCCAAGAGCGAAAAAACTTGGTGACTGCTCCAGCTGAAGCAGATCTTGACATCGGCCCTGCGGTGCTGGTTTTAGGTGCATGCAGAGTGCAGAAGTAGTGAGGTTAAGGAGGCTTCCACCTAGATCTCAGAAGGAGGCCTGGGAGGCCAGGCGGTGTGCCCCTGGGAGGGCACTGTGTGAATCTGTAATTGAGATGCCTACAGTGCACTGGAGACCCAAAAATTTTGGAAAAGCTAGAAAAATGGATCATTTAAGGCAAATTGCAAGGAGGGAGCAAAACATGCCTAAGATAGAAGCCACGGGAGCTCCCATGAAAAGTGCCGTAGAGGTGGAGACATACGGAGCTCACAGTTTGCCACACGTTGCCTCGGATGGTCCACAGACCTACAGGACTTAATGTTGGCCCTTCAGGATTTTGAACTCGCTTTGATCCCAGTGCCTTGCATCCTGCTGTTTGTACCTTTTGGAGTGGTAATGTTTATCTTGGGCCACTAAGTGATGCAAGTGTTTAACTTTTTCACTTGTAAGAGTTTGCCTTAGATCCCAGAGGAGTCCTAGGACTTGGACTCAGCAATGCTTATTCTGTGGAATTGGTAACTCCGAAAGAGGGACTAAAATCCTTTCGCATAAAGGGATGTGCATGCATCTGGGGGACCAGGGCAGAATGTTACGGTTTGTGTCTAATTGTCCTCCAAAGCCTCATGTAATCATGGGGTGCTTCTAGATTTTGTGATTAATTCATCATCTAATGTGGGGATTAAGGGTGTGAGCACTACACCTGCCCTACGACAGTAATCTGCATACAGTGTAAGGCAGTGGAGAGGGTTGCCGGCTGCCGCAGCTGCACCTCCCTTTTGGCTCTTGCTCTTGGCTGTTTTCTGACACCATGAACTGCTGCCCTCTGCCATGTGCCGCTCTGCCTTGGAACCAGCTGAGTATGGACTGAAACCTCCAGCAACTGGGGGCTAAATAAAGCTTTCCTTCCTTCATTTTGAGTGTCTGGTGTTTTGTCCCAGCAATGATAAAAAAGTAAATGAGACACCTGAGATTCTAAACTTAACACAGTCTCATTCCTCCGGTTTTGCTTTCTCTGCCTGCTTGTGTGAAGCTCAGGGTCATGGTTGCTTTTGCTGAAACAAACACAATTCACCAACAATGCTGACCTTAACAGCTAGCAAGGGTGGAAGGCACACATGAGGGGGTGCCAGCCGGGCTGTGCAGAGCCCTCCTTTGCTCACGAATGACACCACCATGGGGGAAACTCTGTGACTACCACATGCAGTGGTAATCCCACCCCTTCCTTCCTGCTGGGTTACCCTCGAGATATCATGTTCCACCTCAGCATCTGGGCTAAGAGGGGCCTGCAGTGTTGGCCTGCTCTAGCCCCTGCCCTCCTCCTGGTTACTAATCCCATTGCTCAGTTTATTTCTTTTGCGGGCCAGAAGTCACTTTTGTTTTCTTCATATTTACTATGAGATTTTTCTTCCTTCAAGCTCCCATCATCTCTGTGGGGCTGGACTCGGGTTTTCTTACCCATCTCTGCTTCATCAGTAACTCTGGTGGGGTGTGGCTTCCTATGTTTGATAAAATGTCCTAAAATAATGATGACAAATGTAGAAACTGAAACATATGGATAGAGAGTTGTAGAAACTGAGGCCAGGACAAAGAATACAGAGATGCCAGAGCTGGTTTGAAAGCCATTCTCCTAGTGTGTCTCACTTTTCAACGTGGTCAGTCCAGAGGCTTAACCAAAGACCAGTGGTCGCAATTACATGGCACAATACATGCAGATTATCAGCGCGGGCGACAGACACGAAGCTGGGCACCAAGTCTGTGCCTGGTCCGGCCGTGCTCATCTTCGGGAGCGTGCATCCTCGGTGCCTACGCTGTGGTTTTCTCAATATTATTTTCATGTAACTCAAGTTATTCCTCGAACTTGTTGAACAGCAGGCTTCCTAGGCAGGGAGATGTGGACCCCTGCACATATTTTGCATTCCCTTACATGGGCAAAATAAACATTTATGTGTTAAATTTTGGCTGCAAATCTCTGTAGAAAAGGCTTTAGTTTTGGTTAACCTGGAACTGCCCAAGGTGTTTGACCCTGAGTATGGTTTTCCACTCCTCCATGAGAACCCAAGAAAGAGAGCGGTGACCGTGAGCGACACCGTCTGCCTCCGCTCTCTGGAGCAGGCTCCTCCCTCCCACCCGGGAGCACATCTTTCCCACGGGCAGGAACGGAAGCGTCTGAGTGTTCGCCTTCCCTTTGACCCGGCGCTGCCTCTGTGCACTGTACGGCCTTCCTCACACGCGTCCTCCCAGGAACTCTTCCCTGCTTCCTCAGCTCCTATCCTGGGGTTTGTCGGAATCCCTTCTTGCAACAGTGAGCTTGTCCGAGAGCGAAGGATCCGCGCGCTGCCGCGGCGCCGGGTGCCAGGCCTAGCGGAGGAGGCCCTGGACGCGCTGCGGCCGACGCGCCTCGCTCCGCCTCTCACACCTGCCCAGCAGTTGCGCTGTGGTGAATGGTGCAGCCTCAAAGCTTTGTGTTTGCAGATTAGCCCCGCAGCCAGGACCATTCTTCATCTAGCTCTTAGCTGGATGGATTGCTGGTCTCTAAAACAAATGGCTTTTTCCCTGTGAGATGTATCTTTAAATTATGTCACTGGCCTTCTTTGGAACATGATAAATGTTTGTGACAGGAACATACATCCTTACTGAGACGTTTCCTCCGCGGGGACTTTTTCAGTCCTTGCTTTTGGAAGATATTTATTCAAGTGGGACGACGGCCAGCTTCGTGCTGCCTCTGAGCCCGCAGCTCCTTCGCACGCACTGTTTCTTGTGAGCGGCACACGTATCCAGGCTGCTTTGTCTTCCTCCCTGTCTCCGAGGTGCCGAGACTGGGTTCACGTGCTTCTTTGTCCGCTGAGTGAGGTGGGGTGCAGATCCCACCGGCCGCTTGCCTCCCGGCCTGGCGCGGTCCCCCAGGGCTCTGCGCCCGGGCCTCGGGGGGCGGCTGGGGGCAACGCCGCTGGAGCCTCCTTCACTGCCCTTCGCAGGGCGACGCCGATGAGTGAGTAATTTGGGCTGTCTGTGTTTTCTCCCTGCCTAGGGTTGGAGCGAATGTGCAGTTCTCCTGCGAGGACAGCTACGTGCTCCAGGGATCCAAGGCCATCACGTGCCAGAGAGTGACGGAGACGCTGGCAGCCTGGAGCGACCACCGGCCCATCTGCCGAGGTGAGGTGCCTGGCCGCCGCGGGGGGTCTTTCTGCCGGCGTCCAGTGAGGTTTCAAGACAAGGCAGTGTCTGCAGATGGAGACGAACTTGGCAGCAACGACGTGGTTAAAGGACGCTTTCCTCGAGGTGTGCCAGGAGACGGACACCTCCCAGGGCCTCCGTGCGCTAGATTTCGGCGGGCACGCGCACAGCACCGCTGCGAGCTCGCGCACCCTTGTGTGCGTGGCGCGCCTCCCTCCACGCGCAGGACGCCTATGTCGAATGTCGTAGGTGGCCAGGTCCTTTGGAGTCTTGCGTGCCTGCCCGCAGATCCGCCCCTTCCCTCCTGTGCTCTGCGGTGAGGCTGAGCTCTTGGGATTTCATGCTGTGAGCAATGAAGGGGTTTCTCAGCGTCGTTGTGACCTGTCGTTTTATAGGTGACTGTCTTAGCAACCCTGGGCAGCGCTCACAGAGCGAAGTCTTTGTCGCCATCGGCAGCTCCTTCAAAGAATACATGAAATCAGAAGGGAGATGTGTCACTTCCATGAGGTGTATTAACTCCCCCGGAATTTTACAAATCGTACTGAAAACAACCAAAACTTCTTTTGACTGGTTCAATGTGGGAAAGAGTAATAGTTCTAAGGGAAAACTAGGGCTTGGGTTTTTCAGTTCTTAAGATAATTTGTGCACACTGGTATTTCCAGGGACATAAAAAGCACTGCAGTGAAGTTTCACAGGTAACAATATGATTGCTTCTCCTGGCTTTTGGGGACTAATGGCCCTCGGATGTGCCATGCTTGTTACTGCCTGTGAAGTGAAATAATGAAGCAGTTTCCAGCTTCATCTGGACGAAGAACTGCAAGCAGCGCCCCAGTCTTTCTGGACCGTGTGTGTCCAGGAGGAGGAGCTGCAGCCCTGTGAGCCCCTGTCCGCCCAAGGCACGGGTGGGTCTCCTGTTTGCACAGAACTGCCCAGCCCTGCCGGGGAAGCCCGGGCAGCTGAGTGCTCCAGCCCTGACCGGCCAGCCCTCTGGGGTGACCCTGACCCAAATCGCTCCGCTTTGGGGAGAGCTGCGGCAGCTCCAGGCTCCCCCCTGGGGAAGCAATCACCCCACCTCCCCGGTGTAAGCAGCTCTAGGTCAGTGACGCTGTTTCCTCCAGGAAAGAGCAATTTCTACCCTTTCATAGTCTCCTCACCTGCATAAACTAGAAATAGACTATTTTTGAAAAGTCAAAATACACAAGTGGCAAACGTGCACTCCTGTAAATGTGTTACTCTGGAAGTGGCTGGGTGACGCAGCCCATGCTTGCATACCTTTGATTTATTTTTGTAAGTTTTATTTTATTTTCTTTAATGTATTTGGTACAGGGTCTACGGGGTTTCACTATGTAGATCAGACTCATAGTGATCCTCCTGTTTTCAGCCTCCAAAGTGCTGGGATTATAGGTGTGTGCCACCACACCCAGTCTCAGTCGCCTTCTCGGTGCGCCCCGGGGGTGGGACTGGCATGGCGCACTGGAGATTGAACCCTGGTCCCTTTGCCCACCTGAGCAGGCTCGATAGTCCCCTGAGCTAGCTGGTCGGCCTTGTACACCTTGATTTTTATCTCTGGATCCACAGCATTTACTTCCTTAGTCTTCTCCAGGCATAGAGCCGGACCAGGCCTCAGACACCCACAGGATCCCGGCTGCTGGGCAGAGGGCTCCTTGTCCCTGCTGCCGCCGCTCCTCTCTTTCTTTCTTTCTTTTGGTGGAACTAGGGATTGAACTCAGGCCCTTGCGCTTGCCAGGGAAGCACTTATTCCACTGAGCCATCTCCCCAGCTCCCACTGCTCCTCTCTGATGCAAAAGACTGGCTTCTTTTTCTTTCTTTCTTTTGAGGCAGGGTCTCAATATGCATTTCAGGCTTACTGTGGACTCGCTATGTAGTGAGGCTGACCTGGAACTTACTGTGCTCCTCCTGCCTCAGCCTCCCAAGTGCTGGGATTCAGAAGTGTGCCACATACCCAGCGACCATTCTTTCTCCTTTTAGTGTAAATGTGTCTTTCATGAATATAATAATATAATATTGTCTCTATTTATGGGGTGCAGTGTGCCATTTTAATAACATATACATTTTTTGATGTTAGGTTGATTACATGTATCTGTGTATTCAAATTTTTATCATTTCTTTATGGGGAAACATTCAAGTCCACCATCAGCAGATGAAAGAATAAAGACGGGTTGGTATTTATACACAACAGAGCACTAACTGGCCATAAAAAGACCAACGTCCCTCTAGTCTTTAAACCCACACTAAGCTGTGCCCATCCGCAGCATCCTCTTGTACAATAGCAGAGCAGAAGTTACTTCTCCCCACAAACCACAGCGCAGGGCCCACGGCCTGGCTGTCCCGGTCTCCTTCGCCCTGACTCCACAGCTGTCAGATTACCGCACGTATTATCAACTTCTGTGAGAACAAATTTATATTACCTACACAAGTGCCGCCTTGCAGTGCGCGCCTTTCTGTGGCTGGCATTGCTCACTTAGCACAAGGACTGCCGGTTCCATCCTGTTGCTATGAGCAACAAGGTTTCACCCTGTCGCTTGCTCGGAAGCATTGCATTTCCTCGCCATTTACCAGGGAGGCCTGGGCCCCACGCGCTTCTCCACGGAGCAGAGCTGCCTTGGACGAACAGGAGCAGCGCAGACAGCTGTGCACAGCAACTTTGTTCGCTGTGGATGTGGGGTCAGGAGTGGGGTTCCTGGGCCACAGTTGCGTTTTAGATTTTGCAGCGCCCGGGCTTTGCCTGTTGCCACCCACCAGCAGTGTGCCAGGGTCCTGTCCTCCAGCCCAATGCAGAGCCATTAGACCGCTCCTCTGCATCCATGTCACCCTGGCCACATGGTGGGGAGCTTTCGGGTCTCTGGCTGCTGGAGCTGAGAGGCTGGGCAGCCCCTTCTACGCCCCAGCTGCCCAGCGGGGTGTTTTCTGCAGAGCACTTGGTTACCCTCGACTCACCCTGCAGCTCCTACTGGGCTGACAGCTCTCCACAGGCCCCTCAGGCCAGTTTCCCAGAGGACGCATTACGCTGGCGCCTGCTCACACCCATCCCTGTTCCTGAGCTAATCTTTCGTTTTTAAACCAAACCACATTCTGCTTGGTCTGTGTTAATGTCTGCTTCTTAACAAAGTAAGCATACCATCCATGATTCAAATATTAATATTATAACTAAATTATAAATGCAGGTTTTTTTTTAATGAAACCGGGGATTGAACATGCTGTTATAATTTTTCAATTCATTCTCATACAGAATCTCCTTTTGCACCAGTTCGTGTTTTCAGAGTATGAATTTTAAGGTGATTGCCAGTATTCTGCATTCAGCTTATTCCCTGGACACAAGGAGCGCAAGTATTTAGGGAGCGCCGCGCGAGGCCGTGGTGCGCATGCCCAGTGGGGAATGCCAGCGCAGGCGCGTCTCTTTGCCACTCCCGACTGCTTTGTGATGAAAAATTCAAGTCTGGTTTTTGTTTTGCTCTGTGTTGTTTTATTTTGTTTTGCGTGGTTTGAAAATACGCAGTGCTGTGACTCCCGCGGGTCTCCCGACCCCTTGCTGACCCCGGCGGCCTCCCGAGCTCGCTCCAGGCCTGCAGGAGCACGAGCAGGGCCCAGCTCAGCTATGGTCGCCTGTTTTCACCTTCCCCTGCGAGGGTACGCGGCTGCGTCTTTCGGGGACAAGGACCGACGCCAGCCTTCCCTGTCTTTGCGAGGAGCCGAGGTCATCTTTTCCCAGTCCCGGACCTGCCTCCAAGAGTCAAAGGGAGAACAACCCGCAGTCGGCGGGAACTGAGTGAGACTTCCCGTTTCTGGAAAAGACCATCCTGTGGCGGAATCCTCGGCCATGCTTGGCCCAAGTTCCTGCAAAGCTGCCGCTGCTCCTGCTCAGCCTTTTCTCCATGCAGCGACCCAGGCCCACGCCCAGACGTGCATCAGCTCTGCACGCGGGGACAGCAGCGATTTGGAGGCCATTCACTTCTGCTTTTTCTTTGTGCAGTGATTCCTTCCTCAGTCTCTCTCTTTTCCTCTCCTCTCCACTCTTCTTAACCTTCTCTGTTTTTTTCCTCCTCTTCATTCATTTTCTCGTCTTCCTTCTCCTCCTTACTTGGTCTCTGTCTCTCCTCTCTCTGTCTCTCTCCACCTCTCTCTCTCCCTCTCTCTCTCTCCCTCTCTCTCTCTCTCTC